TGTGTGTGTGTGTGTGTGTGTTTGTGATTGTGCCTATGTATGGTAGGTCTGTGCGTATGCTCACCCTGTCAAACTAGCAAACAAACACTCAAAGAAACAAACATTCATTTCACTGCATGTGAGAAGATGTAAAACAAAATTTATAGTAAAACATGTTACAGGACAGCGCTTTTGGGGAAGGGTTTTGTCGTTTTTTTCGTAAAAAGAGGCGTGTGTTATATTTAAGTTTAAGACTATTCATATCATTCAATATCCCTCCGTCCTGCCTGCCACCCTACCTGATCGAACAACTTCTCGTTTTTTAAATTGATTTTACTTATGATTAATTTTATTCTGGCCTCTCTCTTGTACATTCGTAACCTTTTCACATCATTCTATCTTTCATTCTCCTACTTTATTTTATTCCTATTTGTCTCCTTGCCACTTTTATCTTTAACCGTCTAATTTTAAACAAAAGCAAGTTCGATTGTTTCATTTTCCAATCATTGTTGTCCTCTTCCATGCACTGGCGAAAGAAAAAGTTTTGCGTTCAAATCCATGTGTTGTTCCTTTAGTTTTAGTACAAATTTATACGGCACTAGAACCACAGATAGGTCAAAATAAAAATGGCGAATATTAGAGATGTTAGTAAAGACAAAGAAAAGAATGAAGACAGATGAGGACGATAGATGTTTAGTAGGAAAGAAGGAAAACCCACATCAGAGCACCCGGACACAACTCTTGAAATCCAAGCGTCTAGACTTTTTACGTCCTTCGCTTTGTCTTTCGTCTCATGGCGTTGCCCTGTCGCTGTGACCCAGCTTCAAAGGGACTTATTTCGTTTTAATAATGTTTTAAACTAAACATTAACAAAATCAAAAGAAACGACCCATTTTCTACGTCATCCGTTTTCCACCAGGCACAGTATTATCTTTTTTAAAACCAAACACCCCCTGCCCCCAATCCCGATGAAAAAAAATATATTTTAAAAATATCGTCTTCAAAGTTGAGATGAAGGATGGATAGATAGGTTACACCCAACTCTTTTCAGCCATAGTAATACATATTAATACAGGGCGGTGCAAAAGAAACCAGGTATACTGTCATTACCTGAACTCTGATGTAATAATTAAAACTATTAGCACAACGAATTAGTTGGCCAACCTCCAACTATTTGATACAGTGAGGGGTATGAAAAGGGTGAACTTTATTTATTTATTTATTTACTTATGTAGGCCTACTTATTTATTTATTGATTTATTACATAGTATGTATTCATTTTTTATTTATGTATAGTTGTATT